CATACACACATTAAAAAGTAAAATATGCAATTGAGCTGAAGTATGAAAATAGTTTCGATCACGCATTGGAAGTCAAAAACATTTTTACTTCTACGTATATTTAATTTACCTAATAACCATTCAACTTATTTCATTAATATTCTATTACACAAAAATTCTTTTATTCTAAATAATACACAAGCTAAATAGAATTTTCTTAGTTTATCAAAACTAAATTAACATACCTTCCAAACGTGGTCGGATACGAGTTTTTCGAGGTTACCTGAACCACGCGTCCGTACCACAATGTTACAGCGTAGAATTGTGAAGCGTCCGTAATTCATTTACGTACTGCGTACTGCAGATACAAGCTTTCAGTTCCGATTTTGACTCCGGTTCACCAATACGCATGCGTACTTAGTTATGTAGTGAATAGTTCCCAATCACATATTTGAGAAACATTTATTTCCAAAACTATCTCTGTGTAGTAAAAGATATGAAATCCTTTTAAGTATATAAATTACAATGTATGACATGTAATTACATATCATTTTCTTATAAATTGTTCATTTTTAATTCGAAATTGAGCGATCGACGTCACTTCCGTTATAAACACACTTCCGTTACTTATTCTTACTTTCTTCTACTTATTTACATATGGCTTGTATGTTTACTATATTTATATTCATAATATGAATGCATGACATTGCCTGTCAATATGGTATACGATAGAATAAGTAAGAAAAAACTGAAGCATTAAGTATATATGGTAAGATTGGATTAATGGGATTAGAAACAGGAAACTTAAATGTAGTTAAAAAAGATTATATTTTACAGTTTTCTTTTGTAAAATAATATATATATGTTTTAAACAGTATTTAAGAGTCAAGGTATGTTGCATATACAAAATTCTGCCTTTAAGTTACAGATCTGCTTGTCGATTTAACATAATCATACAACAAAAATGTACATTCAATGATGAACCAAATTATGAACAAAAGTTGTCACTATAAATGGAGTTTTTGAAGAAATGTCAAATATTTTCATTCTCAGAACTGAGTAAAATTAGTAGACTGTTATACTTCAGTACACAGACAGTAGATACAGATTCATTCGTCTTCATCCAAATTCTTGGATTTCTTCTTTTTCTTTTTCTTAGGTTCTTCAGTTTCTTCTGTTACTCCATTTTCAACTCTTCCATTTTCTTTTCCATTTTCTAATACTTCGCTTTTTCTTTTCTTATCTTTCTTCTTCTTCTTTTTAGGTTTTTCTTGTTCTATGCTGGCTATTACTTGCGCAGCTTCTTCTAATGCTTCCTTCATAACATCTATATTTTTCTTGGGTATTTCTCCAGTTTCATAAAATTTCAATCGATCTTCTACTTGTTGCCGCAACTTCTCGCCGAAGATATTGGTTGGCGTATCAGTAAAGCAATCGATTCTTGATGCTATCGAGCATTTATTTGCAAGATATCTTGAAATTCTACCTTTATTTTTCGTTCCCGCACGACCAATGAAACTCGAGTGGAACAGCAACCCATATTTCGGAGTATTACCTTTTGTTTTTAAGGCTCTGAACAAGGCTTTTTCCGCGCCTAATATTTGCACAGTAGAGGCGGGATATTTAGCCAAATTAGTTAGAGAACCGGCATGTGCTATTAATCTCGCACCTACTTGATCACCGATCAATGTCGCCAAATTTGGCGCTACTCCTGCCATTTTAGATCTTAAATATTCTGCCAGCTGTTTTCTATAATCAGCCAGAGCAATAACACGGGCCGCAAACATTTCGATGTTAAGGAGGTCGACAGGGCTAATATCCATTCCCATAGATGATTTAGATGCGTCGATAATTGCTTGGGCTTTTGCACTATCCATAACAATTTCTTCCAAAGTTTCTAATTTCTCATTTGTAAGTTCTTTTCTGTTTTTTATTAATTTAGCAACTTTGGCATACATATAGTTCTCAGGTACTATTTTTACAAGTTCTGGAAAGTGATAACTGTACCATTCTCTGCAAGAAATATATTCGTGATTAACAAACATTGACAATGTAAATGGAAAACAAGTATCTTACTATTATTACCTTATACGCATGCTGAATGTATTAATATCCTTGTCCAATTGATCTAACAGAGCTATACTCTGTATAATCATATTATCTACACGATTGACATTGAATTTTACTTTAGCTCTAGAATAACTATGACCAAGCCCAAGCTGTGCAATTCCAGAACTCTTCGCAGTGAAACCTTTCACTAAACTATGAAAATGAAATCTTATTCCCCTAATGATTTCTGGGATGGCTCCAGTATGGTCACATTTAATATTTAGTGCTTCAGTAATACTAGCTCCAAGTTTCGGATCTGCTACTCCTAGCACAACTTTATTTTTCTTCCCAGATTTTGGTATACATGAATCCAAGAACAGTTGTAAGTCTTCAGGGACAACTCCTTCAGAAATATTGTTTATACTTTCCAAAGCTGCTAAGGCAGTTTTGAAAGGCGAGAACCCAACTAGTTTTACAACTGAATTGAAGCGAGATAAATCTGTGACAGATGCTTCAACCTGAGGTAGCAACATCCCTACCTCCTCAAATTCTCTGACCGCAAAGAGTGCATAACCAGCAGCATGCTCGAACAATACGTAAAACTTTAACTGAAACAAAAATTGTTTAAATGTAAAGTTTCTTTATAGTTTCTTCTTATTTATTATTTTACGATAGAAAAATAACAAAGAATTGAAAACATAAGCTCTGGAACTAATACAGTACTATAGTACGCATTCTTGAGACGACAATGATACGTCTAATATTTTGTTCTTAATGAACATTGTTATGATCAAAAGAAACACAATCCATTCAGAGAACTTCAAGTACTTTTACAAGTTTTCAACAGTCGTAAAAACACATCTCTATTAAATTTAAACAGTATATAATTCTTAATATTAATAATGAAGAATTGCATTTAATTCTATTAATAAAAAATATTAAATATAATCTGTTCCATTCGGCAGAATGAAGATTAAAACTATTGTTTCGTAAAAAGTACAAATACGAACGAATTCGTAGGAAGTCATATCATAAATAAATTTAATAGTATGTTTAAAACAATTAGTCTCACCATGGTTCCTTTATTTTAACTTCCATTCAATGTTCCTAAACAGTAAACTGCAGTAAACGCAGAGCGCATTACTTGGGTTAGAAATCGACCATGTGTTCCGGATATAACACCGTAAACTGAAATATGGAGTTTTCAGTGCTTCCTGAAATTCAAATTTGCCGATTACAGAAGGTGAATGAGAAATTTATAATGAAGTAGTGTTCACAGACAATTACTTGAATTTTATATATTTCTTAGATATTTCAGTAATCTACTATAAATTATTTTGTTTAGTAAGCACTTCTACTGATAACGTTTGATTTCTTCAACTTTTCATAGATTGTACATTTACGTTATGTGTACGACCGAATGCATCTAATGCATCCGTCTCCTTTATGAATATTTAAGTTCTTTTTAAACCAATATTTAATCTGTCTATGCTGCTAGTGAAGCAAAAGGAATTCTGAATAATACAACGATAAAACTATTGTTGCAAGCAATAACTTTTGTAAAGTGTATGTTTGCATTGTATTTTATGCAGGTTATGTTTGTTTATAGTGTTTATAAAGTATACAAATTTACTACAATTTTTTTTTCTTTCATATAAGAATGGAATCCCGAACAGAGTTTAAAATAAAATCTCCTCCGACCGATGCGATATCGGCGGTGGAGTTTGGACCGAATTCGACACAGTTCCTCCTTGTTTCTTCATGGGACAGTACGGTCCGATTGTATGATATTCATGCGAACACTATGAGATTAAAGTACAATCATGATTTGCCAGTTTTAGATGTCGCATTTCAGGTAATTATTAATCCATGAAGCTCTCGATCTTTTGGTATTTTTAATATTCCACAAGTACTGTCTTTTTGATTTTTAAGGATGCCGTTCATGCATACAGTGGTGGTTTAGGAAATACGTTGAAGATGTATGACATTAATAGTAATACTGGTATGAATAAATATTTTTATTCTTATTCTTATTTATTCTTGAGATTGTATATATGAAAAAGTATAAAAATTGCAGAATCGGTAATGGGACAACATGATAAGCCAATTAGAAAAATTGAATATTGTGCGGCAGTAAATGCAATATTAACTGGTGGGTGGGATGCAGCAGTAAAACTTTGGGATCCTAGGACACCCACCTGTGTAGGTAGTTATTTGCAGCCAGACGTTGTTCTTGCCTTATCTGTGTGCGGAGATAAATTTGTGGTAGGTACAGCCAAACGAAAAGTTTGTATTTGGGATCTGAGAAATATGGCTGGCATGTTCCAAAGACGAGAAAGCAGTTTGAAGTATCAAACTCGTTGCATTAAAGGTTTTCCCAATGAACAGGTAAATTTGTGATTTTTTAAATTAAGTGAAGAATTGAACGTGAGAGATATTATTTATTGCTTTGTCTTACTTTTAGGGATATGTTCTTAGTAGCATTGAAGGCCGAGTAGCTGTTGAATATCTTGATACAACACCAGAAGCACAGAAGAAGAAATATGCTTTCAAGTGTCATAGGATAAAGGAAAACAATGTGGAACATATATACCCCGTCAATGCTATTAGTTTTCATTCCACTTATAATACGTTTGCAACTGGTGGCTCGGACGGTTATGTGAATATTTGGGATGGATTTAACAAAAAACGTTTATGCCAGTTTCATAGATACAATGCTGGAGTCGCTGCTCTTAGCTTTAGTCACGATGGTTCTGTACTTGCTATAGGGGTATCATATTTGAATGAAGCTGAAATTCCACCAGGCGGAAATGACGAGAGAGAGATTTATATAAGATATGTAAATGATCAAGAAACTAAACCAAAATAATAGTGTACAAACATTTAAAAAAAATAGGTTAAAACGTTTTTTAACTATTAGACTGTTTCATCGAAGAAGCAGAAAATAAATGCTGAAGCCTTTTCCAGAAAATTAATGATTGTTCAAAGAGTGTATACAAGATATCCCAGAATGCACGATTCTGAAAGTGTCAAAGAAAATGAAATTCTGAGTCAAAAGTTCCTCTTCCCCTTTTTTCGTTAATAACTTTGTTAATAGCGATTGGAGGGAAAAGTGGAAGAGGAATTTTTGACTTAGAATTTTGTTATACTCTCAGAGGAAAGTCGTGTGTGCATTCTGGGACACCTTGTATAATAAGAGTTTTTCATTTTTATATCTTAAATATCTGGTAATTATACAAATGTAGTAATAATTGTTCATGAATTTTAGACCAGTCAAATTTTAATAAAATACCTTTTTTATTCAATATACTGGGCTTATTAAACAGTACGTTACATGCAGATTAATAATAACTTCTAT